TTAATTCATGTATAAAATTGCTTTAAAATTTATATTTCAAGAGTGCTTTCGATTTTACGTATTCAAATTTTAATGATTCAACAGCATCACAAGATGAAAGGAACAGATGATCTCACAATTTATATATGTGTTAGAATCTATTCTAATGATCTTCTAGGTTATTCATGCAAGTCCTTTGTCCTTAAGAACAAAGAAAAATTTTCAAGATTGGAGTATATAAACACGTCAGATCAGGTTTTCTAGATCTTAAAGTTATCTTAATTATCTGTTCTTTTTGTTCGAAAATAATAATTAAAAAATAATTAGTTCTTTTAGATTTAAGGTGTTATCGAATAAATCAGATTAAGAATTTTTCATTTATTCTGAACAAAAAAAACAAAAATAGTATAAAGGAGAGGATTTTTCTAGTTTGAGCTGGGATACAAGAATTTAAAGTGATATCAATTATGAATGAAAATAAATTCATAGAGATTCATTTTTCTCAATCCAAAGTTTACAATTCATGGAAATTATTGTCCTTAATAGGATAAATATTATGAAATTGATGAGTTTTTAGATTACCAAATGGAAACATTCAAGTCCTTTGAGATTTAAGAAAATCATTACTTGATAGTTCAATAGCATTGAGTAAAGATTAGATTGCCAACTCTAAAGATTGATCTGATAGATTTAATCATTTAATACTTATTCTAATTTTTAGCATCTTCATTACCAAAAGCTGGAATGGTCTGAGCAAAAGCTCATCTTTTTTGCTAACCTTTATTCTTGTCCTTAAATTATGATCTTAAACGCAACTAATCATTTATACCGTTTGCAAAAGGCCTTAAGAAGTTTTTGCTCGTGCTCTTATGATAGGCAATTTATTTTGAGAATAATCTGAAAAAGTTAAATTCCAAATGGTAAATAAAAGAGATATTGGAGCAAAATATAATCTTGAAAATTTAAGGTGCTTACTTTCCTAATCACTGCTTTTCTTTATTTATCTTATTTTTGATTCTCTTTTTCAATATTCTCATATGGAAAGTAAAACTCTTCCTATTCCAAATCCAATCTACTATCTATTAGTGAAAAAAATTAAGTAAATAAATTATTTCAATATTTAGAACGAAAAGTAGTTAATTCGAAGTGAAAACTAGAACCTAGCGAACAATTATAATTGCTCTATATTTATAGTAATAATGCTGAAAATAACCTTCTGACATTTTCTTTTTAACTCCTAATTTATTTTCAAATGCTCTATCTATTACCATATGGCATTATTGTTATTTTTAAATGGTGTTAGATACTTTTAACACAAAATTTGCCTAATCTTAAACAGCTTTAAGATCTAAATTTTCAATTTAAGAACTCAACAATGTACTTTTTATTTTTTTACCTATAAAAAAAATCTTGGAAACAAAATCGATTAATATACTAATTAATATAAAAAGCTATCATTTTGAATAGCTATCATAATGAAATTAAAATGAAAGAAAGATTCGATTCCTACTTCAGTTTCTACATACAATTAACACCAAAAGATATTGAAAGTAAACGCATTAATTAGAGGTATACGAGTATATTTCTAAAATTTATTTCTTTGGCTTTTAGAGCCTTGATTTTAGATAGGAAAAAAAAATATCACGATCTTAAATTTATTTTCAATATTTAATAATAGCTATCAACAAAACTATTTAACTTATAACTTAATTTTATTGAGTATTCATATTATTATTGTTATTACTACAAATTAAACAATACAGTCTTGTTCGTGTACCATGTCATAAGAACATATTAATATTTTAATAGAAGTTAATGATACAATATTAATACAATAATTCAACTATTAAAGCTAACCTTAGAATTTTTTTGAACTTACAACGCCAATTTAAATATTGAGCAGTGCTTTATTAAAAGAAACTCTGTTTGTTATAATCATTGATGGAAATCTGACTGCATATTTTTTCAATCATGGCAAATTAGCCTATTTACTATATCTAATTATACATTTAAATATATATATACTAATTTAATAAATTATCCAAACTTCTTAGTTATTGATAATCAAGTTAATTTAATTATCTTATCGTATAATGGAATATTAATCTTATGAAATTTTAAATAACATTCATATCCAATTGTTAATTACAATTAAATCTAGATAGGTGTGTTACAAAATGGAATTTATATGGCGATTGTTGAATAAAATAACAACTAATTATATTTTTATCCAATATAAAAATTTTTATTTCCAACTCATTATAAATTTATTATTAAGTAGATTGATTAGGATACTAATTTTATACAGGATAAATTATCAGTTCATATATAGTTGCAGAGATTTGCTTAAGAATTGATAATTATAATTAATTATATTTTGCAATTAATATTATATTTCATCATTAAATCTGTAGGCCAAAACACATTTATTTAATCTTGCAAAACTAGCAGTTAATGGTTCAGTTCTCTATGGGGAATTTCAAATAGTGCCTTATTTTTTAGAAACCAATTATTCTTATATGACTGCAGTTAGTTACTTGGCGTATGATTAAAATTGTTAACTTTAGTTACAAAAAAAAGTCAACATATTATTTGGACGATAATTAATTACTCAAAAATAATTCAACTTAGGATCTTAAGTATTAATAATTTAAAATAATACAAAATTAATCATAAATCCATCCAATTTATTTAATGGAAACATTAAGAATTATTCAATAAATTGTATAGAATGCAAATCACTTAATTTTACTTAACCTATAAATGGATTATCTTCTTAAACCTTGAACTTTTCTTTTTAGGCCGCAATCAAAATAACAACAAGATCTTTATTTAAAACAATTTCAGTTTATACTAGCTAAATGAATAAACTTGATTTTATAGTTGAATATATAACTTTCCTTATTAAAATACTTACTGTTTTGTGATTTTTATAGATAAATTTACATAGTTTCCTGTTTCGATATGTGCTAATGAAACAACTACTATATATGCTTATATTCTTACAGGAAAAATCGGAATTTAATATAAATTTTCAGAGTATTCAAACTTTTATAAAGCAAATTATAATAATGGAATACTCTAAGTATTAACAATAAATTATAAACGATTAATGTAATAATATTCTTATTAATCAATTTATTTTGGGATATCTGACAATAAAATTTATTTGGATTAAATATTTAATTCAAGTAACCTTTGCAGTAATTCATATTTGGAATTTGTTTATCTCAGAATGTCTACAAATTACACAACTTAACCTTGTTAAATATTTGGATTTACATCCTTATAACACAATGGTAGATATAACCCCATATTTTAATACAGGTATTTCTACATAAATTAGTAAATAATTTGGTTTTTAATCCAACTAGTATGCTTAAAAGTTTAACATCTATTTTTCAATTAAAACCTGAAATTTACATCAAACTTAAGTCAAATTTTTATCTGATATAAAATAGTATTAAAAAATTCAAAACTTATAGCCAAAGATTTTGTATTTGAATCACAGTTTATTGTCTCATTAAG